AGGTGGGGGTTTTTTTAATAAACAATTTAATTGTGCCGGTATTCCCAGAAAGCTGCATATAAGCAAGTGTAGGAAAGTCTTGTGCAAGTTAGGGTTTTTTTGATGGTGTTTTTTTGTTTGTTTTGGGTTTTTTTTTTTGCAAAGCATAGGCAATAGAGCTGAGAAGATTTTTATTTACTGTGAAAGCCTAGGTACTACCTCTGGTTCTAACTTGTTTATAAAACTGTTTCTTGAGGCACATGCTGAAGTTAAGTATTTCTGAAAATGTTCAAAACTTCCACTCACAAATTTATAAACTGTACTGAAAGCTGTAGGGTCTCAGAAAGAGCTCATAGATGAATACATGTAGAATTATCTCAGAATCCTTCCAGGGAGCATTTTCAAACATGTCCTTGCCTGGTCTTCCGTCTTCTGGGGCTCTGAAGGAAAATGCTGTAAATGGAGATGATAGCGTGAGATCTAAAGGCAGGATGTCTCTGCGTGGCGTGGTTGCAGTCCATAATGAATTCAGACAGAGTGGGCAAAATAAAAGGGACAACTTGTCATCTGCCCTTGAAGGGATCCTGTTGGGTTAAGCCATGTCTGAAAAATGCTGCACTAAAAGAGGTCAAGGGAGGAGAAAGCCCAGAACTCACTCATTCCATTGTTTATACTGCTGCTGTTCTCTGGCCAGTGAGGCTACTCAACATTGGTATAGAAAGTAAAGGTTCCTCATAGCTGAAAGTGATCAGGTAATTCAGGGGTGAGAAAGCCAGCACAGCCTGTCCCTGAACTGAAAATTCTTCAGTGTAACGCATGTAAGTAGTTGTGGATGTGAATAATTCAAAAAATGGCCCCTTGAAGTTTTCCCAAATACTGTCCATGGTGCAAGTTAAAGGAACCATGTACAATCTGCAGTAGGTGTAGATGCTCAATTCACAGGAATTTGTCAACTGGATACTTGTATTCAGTCCTGCTAGTGCTTCAGTTACTCTTCCACTGCTCTTGTTTTGAGTGTGGACTGCTTCCTTGGATCTGAGGATTAAAACATTGTAGTGGTATATTTAGGTAGTAGAAAAAGGGGAGAGACTTGAATATAGCTTTAGATTTTTCTGTAGTTGCCTTTAATGAAGACTTTGGAAGAACATGCTTTCAAGTCTGGAAAGCAATTAATTTCTTTAAGTATGCTGAAATTGTTCACAAAATGTGTTTTAGATGAGTAAGTTTTATGATGGGATTGAGCTTTTTTCATGTAATGGTCTAATATTGACCCAAATCTGAGAAATTGATGTGCAGGCTTACACCTTTTTTGTTTCTGTGTGTTTGTCAGTGATAAAGAAAAGCACTTGGGGAGAAAATCATAGAGGTAATGTTTTTATGAATAGTTTTCAGGACGGTACAAAGGGAGAAATTGTGTGCTTAGATTTGACTGAACTTGACAGTGCATTTACTTGAAAAAGATGAGCAGTGACTGTGAACCATGGCCAAAGTTAACTGATTGCCTCTGCCAAACCTGTGATCTTGCCAGTCCTGACTTCTGCAGTTTTTCTGTGAGGCTGCAGAAGAGCTGCAGGGGGTTGTTGGTAGAGACTCCTTGAGCCTGCCTCAGGGGTAGAGCATGTCTCACTGGCCCTTGGAACTCATCTTGCCATGGTGAGTGACTGATACAAGACTTTTACTTCACAAAAATACAACTTTCATTGCTTAATCTACTAATTATGTGCCTTTTCCCTTAGAGACAGATCACACCCAGTGTGTTGCAGTGTGCGTGAAGTGTGCGTGAATGTGGTCAAAGAGGACCTGTTACATGGGGACTTGTTTTTGAGATACATACGTGTAGGAAGAAGAAAAATGAGACGTTTGGGATCATCTGCTCAGATTGAAACCTGTTTTCTTACTCCTAGACCAGGGTAAAAGGGACCAGTGAGGATCAGTGCATTTTGGTAAAGTCTGCTGCTTGCATCTCCAGTAAATAGGTAACTCCTGCCATGGGAGTCAAAATTAAAGCAACAAAGGCAGAATACTGTTTGAAAATTATGAAGCTGAAATGAGCAAATTAATTTGCAAGAAAGATAGTTAAATTTATGCCAAAGATTTGCAAGTAGTTTGAAACATATTGTAAGCTGTCATTATCAATAAAATGTTAATGAAATGGTAAACATCTGTTAAATTGATGAAGATAATGAAGCTTGTCAGCTATATCTTTCTTGTGCCAGTATTCCTGCTTAGTTCAGGTCTGCATAGAGATTTGGTGGACTGGTGGTGAGAACCTTTGGGAGCAATAGCAGTGTAAAGCTGTGCCCTGTTCTGTTTGATTTTATGATTTTGTCCTGAAGTGCTTCTACCAGTCGTTTAGGTCATCTTTATCTGATCATTCTTCCTGAGGATTTCAAAGGTGGGTCTGAAATCAAACTCCAGTCAAACGGGGTCATTGGTATTTGATTGGCAATAGTTGAAGTAGTAAACTGGCAAACAGAAGTGAACAAATATCTTATTATTAGTGCCTTCACTAATCAGACTAACAGGTGTGTACGTTTTCTGTTCTATATGGACTCCAAATGCATCCTGCTTTACGGGTCATATGTTATTCTGGCAGCAGGAACACCATGGCCTGCAGAACTGCAGGCAGATTTAAAATGTCTTTGTCCCGTGAAATGATCGGTACTCAGGCAAGAAGTACAAAGAATATTGTACTGTTTGCGGGAGTATGCTAATTGTTTTTTAATTTTTAAGACTTTTATGCCAAATGTTTCGTATGCCTTGGTTAAGGACAGCACCAGAAACCTAGCTTAACTCTGATTTTAAATGTCAGTCACAATTTAACTCTATTCTGTTACATTTTTTTTCTGTAAAATTTAGTTAAAATATGTAGCCATAGCTTAATTGAAATATGTATATGTAAAGAGAGGACAGGTCTTTTTTAACTTCATGGATCTTTAATTGCTTGTGAACTTCAAAGAGAAACTTGTGGAAGTTAGATTGATGATGGCACTTTATGGACTTCAGGTAATTGAATACAACATAGCTGCTGTCTGAATACAACTCTGAAATCCAAATTATGTAAATCTGTTGTTTCAGAACCAGCTAGTGAAATAATAATCATTTTTACAGTTAAAGATGTTTTCTTGGGATAAATCCTCTGACAAACTGCTTTCCTACTGATGCAAATTTTTCGTCATGGATATGAAGAATCTATATGTGTGTTAGCCTTTAGCTTTTTTCAGTTTGTCACTCCACTTGACTAAACTTTGACTTACAGTTAATTAAGCATGACTGTCAATGAGTTTCATGGGCTTAGGCAGAAACAAACCTTACATTTATGAAAGTATTGGGGTAGGAGAGAGGAGAAAATATTCTGGGAAAGTGTTTCAAGCATATTTTCCATTCAAGTTGTGCATCTCGCTTGGGATGATGTTCAACAGTTCTCTCTCCATTGTTGTCAATGTCCCATCTTTGTGTAATGTTCAAACTTTTCCTGTAGAAGAAACAGAGAATAGATTATAGCTGCCATTCATCTGCTAGCCCATAAGATAATGTTTACTGTGCTGCATCTGTGATCAAAATGTCTCTCCAGATCTGCAAAATTTGAGCTCAGGGCTAGTTATAAGTGTTTGGATGTCCAGAAAATCCATCTGGCTTCTGAACTCAGCTTTCCTTTTAGATATTGTAAGCTGGGTTTGAAATTGTCTGTGGAGGCAAGATGATGAGATGAAAAGAAGGAAAATTTCTACTCTGCCTTCAATTTTTAGTGACCTTAACAGGGAGAAAGGGAGATACCTTAATGGAAGACTGGCCCTCAGGCAGCCCATATGGATTGCTTGGCATCTTGCAAGTAGATGCAAATTATCTGATTTCATGGGAGAAGAGAGGGAGAATTACTTGTTTACTTTTCTTCCCCCTCCCCCCCCCCCCCCCCCTTTTTTTTTTACCTTCCTGTCTGGGTTTAAAAAGCTCAGAAAACATCTCTGAGAAAAAACTTAGGTATTGTGTCAGCTCTGTTTGAGACCAGAGAAACTCCTGAGAGGACTGTTATGCTCCCAGGTGATGTGCTGGCCACCGGTGAGTGGGAGAAGGAGGTAATTATGGAGAAATTCTGGCAGAGGAAGGAGAGGCAGAGTGATTCACCCTCCTTTAGAGGTGTGGGACACTTGTGTTCCAGTGCCTCCTCTAGTTGGTGTTGAATTATTTTTATATATACTCCCACAGGCATAGCTGGGAGCTGTGTACTAGGCACACCATTGTGTGAATAGGGCAGATAGCAAGTTAAAAATTAATATTTGGACATCTGTGCCTTCCCATTCCTTCGAGGTCTTGCTGGGGAATGATTCTCAAGTATATGCAGAAAGAATTTCAGCATGTAGATTTCTGGAAAGCTCTTGTTTGAAGAGAAAGATCTGGCTTCCAATTAAGAAAATGCTAGTATTGCACGTAAAGAGTTGTGTTCATTTATGTGCTAGCTGATTTTTTAATTGTTGTCTGTTTTCTAATATTTGCTTTTCACTGTAGAACAGACGGCATTTTTTTTTAAAGTTAGGTGAAATAATGTTTGTGTTGCACCTTATAGTTACAGATGCTGTCAGAAAAGGAAAAAATAAACACACAGCTTACTATTTGGAAACCAACCTCTGGATTTCAGCTTGCATGAATTGCCTGTGCTAGCTGATACAGCAGGCAACCATGAATTGCAAAAGCATCTGACTTTCATGGGCACCCATCCTGGCCTTTTTGGCACTGAATTTTTCAGCTTTAGAAAGGATTTATTCTACCTGCCAGTGTGATTTATATACCATATGTCTCCTCTTCAGTGTCTGAATATCCATGGTCATAGGAAAGTGCTCTGCCTCATCTGTAGTGTATGGAAATAAGTTCATTTTAATGATTAACTCCTACAGAGCCACTTTATTGCATCCCTGTATTATTTTTTTCTTGGTGGTTGTGTCAGCAACCAATAGCTATACTGCGTGCGATGAGGAAAGGAGAATACTATGAATTCCTGGTTTTGTTTGCTCTTGGCAGGCACTACTACGCTTCCCACCCTTGTGCGCACACCTACCTTGATGATGCAGCCTTCCCTGGATATCAAACCCTTTGTGTCCTTCCCTGTGGACAGCAGCTCTGCTGTTGGATTCTTCACAAATTTTAACACAGTAAGTAAAGGTGTTTCCACATTGAGTTGCAGTGTATGCTTTCCAAGCCGGTTCTAATATCTAGTATTGAAGCTGCCTTAAAACAATGCATTGCTGGCACAATTTTAGAGAACTCTTTTTGTCTGTGCTGCCGTGCTTGCTGTTCCCTTGTGCAAAAGACTGAGCGGTACCCAGCCTTCTCACTTGGAATGGGGCTGATCCTTTTCTGACTTGGTCAGATTGGGCACACTGAAAAACAAAACCAAACAAAACGAAACAAACCACGACAGACATTTGATGAGTGATAGAATCATTCTGAGCAATTGCCTGGGCATGTGCATTTCCATGTGCTGTAAAAAAGTTAAAAGTGAAAGCTAAAGGAAAAACAGGTATGACGGTATGGGTAAGGCCTAGATCCTCCACTGATGTGAATCAAACTAAGTCTATTACAGCCAGTGAAGCAACCAAAGTATGTTAATTCTGTATAATAACAATAGTCTAAAATTGCACAGGCGGTCAATCTGAAAAATGTGAACCTGCTACTTTTAGTTTATGGTAGAGCATTGTGGGTTTTTGCAAAAAAACCCAAATTATTGCCAGAATAATGCTCAGTGCTTCTGCAGTTCTCCATATTTATCAGAGCATCAATAATAAAAATACTCTTCTGTAGTTCTCACTTCTTTAAAAGCTCATAAAATGGTTCTGAATGTTATCAAAATGCTTTTTTGCTATCACACTTTATAATTTGTTTAATTAATTATTATCTAAAATGCACAGAGTACACCAAGCCCAATATTTTGCATGTTGCCACTCAGATTTTCATGTGTGGAGGTAATTCAGCATGGAATGAGTCGAGAAATAGTAAGCTAATAGCAAGAGGAAGGAAACTGCTCTGGGTCATTTCTGCCAAGTCAGCGAGTATCATCTTTTCATACATGACCATTGCCTGAACTTTACAGCATCACACTTGTCACTGTAATTGTAGGGAGGATGGAAAGGGAAGCAGAGTAACCACCACCAGACAGTGATCAGCTGAACCACTGCCAAGTGCTTCCTTTCTCAAACTCACCTTCTGTCTGAAGTTAAAACAGCAAGAGGATTTTTTTTTTCTTCATGACTTGTAAATACATCTTGCTGACAGGCCTTGTGCTACAGCGCGTGGTGCTGTGGGATGGTTATGAGGTAACTTATCAGCTAGCTTTCAAATGTCAGCAGCCCAATGCGTATTATGAACAGCAGCAAATATTACCAATTCTTTGCAAAACATATATGTGAAAATTCTGCATTTATGATGGAGAAGTGGGGATGTGCATGTGTATAGATCGGGGGGTACATGCATGTGCATGTGTACAAAGAGATAAAAGATTAAAGATGATCCAGGTATATTTAAAGTGCAGGACCATAAGTCAATACAATTTTAAGAAAGCAGTGTGTCATTCTGGTCTTCTAGGCTTGTTGCCATTCATATTCATTTTCCATCCTCTTTCTAACACATGCGAGAATTTTGTTGTCAATTTGTCTGCTTTCCAATTGCACTGGTTTTATAGGTGAGCTTTTTCACAGAACTATACATAAAGACTCGGAGTACCTTTTCTTTAGGGATGCTGTAGTTGTAGAGTCAACCAGCATTATTTGCTTACTGGTGCTATGATTGAATTTCTGAGTTTCAGTAGCCCCTAGAGGCAGATTAATTTTGATATTTAGACTCTTTTTGCCTATGTACTTATATTTAACTGGGTTACATTCTGTTTGCCTAATTCCTGCAGTGTTTATCCTTCACACCTGTCATTCCTTTCCAGACTTCTATGGGTTTTATTTAAAAAAGAGGCCTGGGGTAATAGGCAAATATTTTTCGACTCAGTGTCTACTTCCTCCCTTGGAATTTTTGATAATTATATGAAATCATGCTGCTATGTATCACAGACACCACATGTTTAAACTCTCTTTTTTGAGGAAGAGTGGTTCCGTGCTACCTTATTTCTAATTCACAGACTTTGCCATTTATCTTGAAGGTATTGATTTTTCCCTAACAGTCTTTTACAATGGACTTTAAAGCTCATTGGAAAACTAAATCATTCATGGTTATCTACTGACAGGCACAGTGAACGCCAGCTGTCATGCACTTCCTTTCTTTGTAACTGAGTACAGCCCTTGCAAATGTAGATTTCTATGTTTGTGTATATATAATCTTTTTTTTTCTTTTTCACTGTAAAGTGGTGGAGGGAGTATGTAAAAACTTTGTAAGAAGCCTTTTTCCAGAAGTAAGCTTGAGTGAGTAGAAGCTAAATCCGGTTGACCCATAAGGTGTGTGTCATCCAAAGTGCCCTGATTTTTCACCTTGTGCAGGAATAGAATATTGGAAGAGCTTTTTGTCACCCCAAAAATCCATCATTTGCATTATGGATCAATCAGCAAATCTATGCACTTCACTCGCAAGAGGACTTGTCAAGGAGTGTAGACAGCGAAAGCTGTAGCTTGCAGCATTTAATCTCCTGGCCTTCAGTAGGACTGAGGAGACCCTGCAGCATGTGCCAGGGCTGCTGTTCGTGCTTGCATGTGTTCACTGAACATGACAAAATAAATGCGGTCTCAAGAGAAAACTTCTTTGAATCCACCTGTTCATTTTCAATGGCAGTCAGATATAGAAAAAAATTTTCTAAACCATGTCAGGAGGTGATTTCTAGGTTAATTTCAGTGACCTGAAAAAGAAGTTTCTCCTTAGGTGCTTGATACAGTAACTACTAGGGCAGGAAAAGCGAGGTAAAATAAATCAACTACTAATATATTTAAAGGAACACCCCCTACAGTGTTTCCAAAATAACTTCTCTTATTTATGGAAATCTGGGGTAAGCCCTCTCTTATATAGTTAACATGTGCTCCAGACCCTTCACCGGCTTTGTTGCTCTTCTCTGGACCTGCTCCAGCACCTCAATGTCTTTCTTGTGGTGAGGGGCCCAAAACTGAACACAGGATTCAAGGTGCGGCCTCACCAGTGCTGAGTACAGGGGCACAATCACTTCCCTAGTCCTGCTGGCCACACTGTTTCTGATACAGGCCAGGATGCCGTTGGCCTTCTTGGCCACCTGGGCACACTGCTGGCTCATGTTCAGCCGGCTGTCAACCAGCACCCGCTGGGCCCTCTCTGCTGGGCAGCTTTCCAGCCACTCACCCCCAAGCCTGTAGCGTTGCAGGGGGTTGTTGTGACCAAAGTGCAGGACCCGGCACTTGGCTTTATTGAACCTCATACAATTGGCCTCAGCCCATCGGTCCAGCCTGTCCAGATCCCTCTGCAAAGCCTCCCTGCCCTCACGGAGATCAACACACCCGCTCAATTTGGTGTCATCAGCAAACTTACTGAGGGAGCACTGAATTCCCTTTATCCAGGATAAAGATGTTAAACAGGACAGGCCCCAAAACTGATCTCTGTTTCTCCTAAAAATTTGAATAGTTCTAAAAATGCTGCAGATGTACCTATAGTACTTATCAATTCTCACCCCAATTAAATTTGTTATTGTTCCTTATGACTTGCTTATTATATAGGAAAAAATTAATTGGGAAATTATCGTACTAAGTCTTTGGATATATGCCTTTATTCCTCAGTAAGGATGCCTTTTTGTTTCAACAGATCAGCCAGAAAGGGATCTCCTAAGGTCAGAATGAAGGATTTCAAGCAGAGGGGTATTGCAGACTAAGTGCTGTCTTCTTTCCTGGTCTCTTCACAACACCAACAAATAGTTTTGTCCGAACAGGACAGGCACGATCAGGCTGTCACAGCCTGAATCTGTGTTGCTGCAGAGAAGGACAAACCATCTTTCAGAAGTGCTGCAGTAGCGGATCCAAAGGTGACAGCATGTTTGTCCTGGCATCAAGTTCTAAAAGCTCTTGCCCAATTACTCATACTCCTTTGTCTGAAATGCGTAGCTTGAATCAAATTCTCGGCTGGTATTACTTAAAATATTCTTCTTTATAGCAGAATGGGAGACAGCATTATAGGAGTGTCCCAAAATGGTACCTCCAATTTGGAACAGATGCTGTACAAAAACGTATTAAGCAGAGCCCTTTTTTAGCATGAAAAAATTACCTTGTGATTCTTTAACACATAACATCTTGCATATTGATTACACTTAAAGATCTGTCAACCTTCAAAGTCAAGTGAATAAAGTCAATGAAAATCAAAGATTGCACAGTAATCCAGCAGGACTAGGGAAGTGATTGTGCCCCTGTACTCGGCACTGGTGAGGCCGCACCTTGAATCCTGTGTTCAGTTTTGGGTCCCTCACCACAAGAAGGACATTGAGGTGCTGGAGCAGGTCCAGAGAAGGGCAACGAAGCTTGTGAAGGGTCTGGAGCACAGGTCTTACGAGGAGCATCTGTGGGAACTGGGGTTGTTTAGTCTGGAGAAGAGGAGGCTGAGGAGACCTCATCACTCTCTACAACTACCTGAAAGGAGGTTGTAGTGAGGTGGGTGCTGGCCTCTTCTCTAAAGTAACAAGTGATAGACCAAGAGGAAATGGCCTCAAGTTTCACCAGAGGAGGTTTAGGCTAGATATTAGAAAATATTTCTTCACTGAAGGAGTGATCAGGCATTGGAACAGGCTGCCCAGGGAAGTGGTGGAGTCACCATCCCTGGAGGTGTTCAAGAAACGTGTAGATGTGGTGCTTAGGGACATTGTTTAGTGAGTTAGGTGGTGTGGGTTGATGGTTGGACTTGATGATCCTTGAGGTCTTTTCCAACCTTAATGATTCTATGAATCTTGATTTGTTCCCCATTGTGCATTTAATATAATGTAATCTAATTTTACACTCACTGGCTTTCACCTTCTGTACCATTCTTTCTCTGCACCTCCCTCATTCATTTTCTCATGTCATCCATCTTCTGGACTGACTTAAGAAAGGAAGCTTTGTGATCCCATCGTGGAAGGTTATAATGATCTGTGCACTAAAGTGTCTGAAAGCCAGAATTTGTCTTGCAGGGCAAACTAAATTATAACTGTCTGCATCTCTGTAGAAAGGTAAAAAAA